TTTTTTTTTTTTTTTTTTTGCTTTGCAAAATCCTGAGTCAGGCCCTGCGGGAAGATGGGCCGATATTGGATCCATGATCCTGTGCCCCAAACATTAGTTGGGATGGAATAATGGAAGCTTGTTGACTAGGGAGGAATGAGTTTATTTTGCTAATTACAGACAAACACTAATAAACCGTCAGCTCTTGAAATCATAGTAAGGGTGAGGGGAGGTTCATGTGTGTGTATGTGTGCCCGTGCACGTGTGCAGGTAATGCGGAGGTGGGAGGTTGGGCTGTGTGGCTAAAGTGTATTTACACTCCTGTTGACTGTTCTTTGGACACAAGGAGAATCTTTGTCTCTTAATTTGAGCTTGCATCCTCCCTCTACTGTGGAATTCTATGTTCGTTTTCCCATTCCTTCTTGTTACTTGTCGATTTTAAAATTATTTGGGTATGAACACCTTGGAAGTGGGAATAGTCCTTTTCCCTAGCTTATTGATGAAAATTGGTAGGAGGATGCTGGGAGATGCAATAGAAAAGGCATATGGGAGAAAATGAATGCTAAAAGAAAAAGAGGGACAGTACAGGGAATAATGTAACTGCCAAGTTGATTGACCACTTAGCTGGTCACTAAATTATTTTCTTGGGTGAGAAACATATTCTGGAAAGCAACATAATTTTGAGAGTTGTTCCAGAGCAGTAGAATCTGATTTTATGAATCTTATCCAAAACTATGAGAATTGATTCGGTTATCTCCTTTTTAAAGAAATACTAACATTGGTTGGATGGGTTGTTGTGCTCATGACCTTCATGGTATTATATAACCGCTTATTGATTCCTCATTATTTATGGTTATGATTCTGTGGAATTCTTCTCCTGGGGGCAGGGACAGCCTGTGTAGACCAGAGGTGTCCATTAGAAGAGAGACGACACAAGCATCCATCCACTGCCTGGTCTGCTTTGGGATTCTAAGATGACCTTTAATTTTTCTAATTTACATTTATTTCTGAATGTCTGTAATTTGTAATTTGTTTGTTTTCCTTCAATCTGAGTTATTTCAGAAGTGGTTAGATTCTCAGGTGGCTTGCATTTGGGAGGTGGGTGACTTTGAACTGTTAAAATCTAGTGTTCTTACATTATGGTTAGAATGCATTGCCTATGTGATTTCTGCTTTTTGTCATTTATGATCTTCTTTTTCCGACCTAGTACCTGATACTTTTGATTAACGTTTCTTTAAAAGATATTTGTTATCTGCTTCTGGGACCGGTTCCATAAGACATTAAACTTACATCATTGAAACCTTCTGGGCTACTCAGAGTGTTTCTTTTCCGATACTGGCTTGTTCTACCTTTTCACATTACCCGTTTTCATAGCCCCCTGGGATTAGGGAGATGAGGGCAAGGAGGTTGAGAGCAGCACAGCTATTTGAGGCAGTCGGAGGACCAGACAGTACAAGAGCCCTTTGCTCAGGCTGATTTAGGTCCTCCTTCAGTGAGAAGGAAAAGAAAATTTTTTTCAATTGTTGCTGTAATCGAATTGTCTCTTTCAGGAATTATTGCTGTGTGTGTTAATCTCGGGAATGGGCTAGAGGGAGGATAGAGAAGGGGTTCAGCCTGATCCTTTATGAATGGGGCATGTTGGAGATTACTTGTTGATTTCTCTCTGTGTTCTTCCTTTTCTTATCTCTTTGCACACACCCCGTTTTATGAAGTCTGATATTCCTCTTGTCTTTTATCGAGTTTCATGGTTGCACGATGATGAACAGTCCTTGCTCTGGAGCCAGTGTGCCTGGGTTTGAATCCTGTCTTTCTGCTTGTTGGCTGTAGGATTCTGGGCAAGTCACTGAATTTCCTTGTGTCTTGAATTTTTCATTTGTTAAATTGGAAATAGTACCTACTGCATAGAACTGTTGTGGTATTATGTGAGATATAATACTTGAAAATGCTTAGAATAGTACACAATAAATGTACCCAATAGTGCTTAGTAAATGAAAGCGATTATTATTCCATTAGGCAGATGGATAGCCTGCTTCACATTTGTCTATGACATTACGTCAATTTGGATTAAGAATAAATTTCAACTGCCTAACATAAAAAAAAAGACCAAATGTTAATTGCCTGAATTTTAAAAGTAGCCAAATATATGAATCTCTTGAGGTTTTTTTGCAGCGACCACAATGATTAATCACTGTTGTCACTACTTAAATGATGGTTTACTTTTTGGAGGAAAGGCTGTCACTTATAGATGCTTTCATAATTCGTATGTGCTGAGTTATGCAGTTCTCCATGTAAATGGTCTGGTTTTCAAGCCTTATTAAAGTTACTGTATCAAAAATAGGATTAATTAAAATCTCCTTTAAAGATTTTAACCTTAATGTTACATTAATAAGATTGTTTTGTTCCCTGTGCAGCATCAAAACTTCCATTCAGCTTTGAGGTATGAGGTCTGACTTAGAACTTGCAGGACTATAGTACTTAACCATCATGGTCCTATGCATGTAACTAGTCATTGGCTATGGATATATAGCCATTTTCATAAGCTGCTTAGTTTTGTTTACTTATTAATTAATTTTGAATGCTAAAAGCAGGTAGCAATTCAAGAGAAATTAAACTGATTAAACTCAGTTCTTATAGTCTTTAGACTAGTTTTAATGGTATTTATTTATTTATTTATTTATTTATTTATTTATTTATTTTTGAAGGAGAGAGAGAGACAGAGCATGGGCGGGGGAGGAGCAGGGAGAGAGGGGGACATAGAATTTGAAGCAGGCTCCAGGCTCTAAGCTGTCAGCACAGAGCCCGATGCGGGGGCTCGAACTCACGAACTGTGAGATCATGACCTGAGCCGAAGTCGGACGCTCAACTGACTGAGCCACCCAGGCGCCCCAGTCTTTAGACTAGTTTTAGACTAGATTTAGACTAGACTAGTTTCAGCTAGATTTTTTTTTTTTTTTTTTTTGAATGTGATTAAGTCTAGGGACATAGAATAAGATATCTCACAGCTTAAATCCCAAAGTCTTTGTAATACATTAGGCTTTTAGGGACCCATGGGGGTGGTGGCAGGGGAGGAAACTTACAGGTTAAGAATAATTTCTAAATTTATAACTTGTTTTCACTAAGAATAGCAGTGATGCTCTACATACCTTCAAAAATACTGACTACTTCTTGTTCCTTTGTATCTGGTAGGAAAATCCTGTGTTTTCAGGTGTCCTGCCCACTCTCATCTAGGCTTACCTGAAAGTTGATGTCAGCAGGCATTGTTTTGGGAGAATTATCTCTGAGGTCCCGGGTACTTGGACTAGCACTTGGGTTGTGGGGTGTGAGCAGGGGAAGAGGGTTGTGGAGAGGAGTCACGTGGACCCTTTAAATAGGAGCCTGCCCTCACTGCCTTCTGCTAGGGCCGCTGGTGTTGTCAGGTGAGTGCTGCTAACTGTCGCACTTACCTCCAGAGAATAGGTGGCCTGTGCTTTACGGCTGCTGGAAAGCATTTACTGGGAAGCTGGCAACTGAAGGTGCTTGCAAGTGAGTGGCCAAACATTGTTAAAGTCCTTCTTGAGTGGTACAAAGGGAGTGTGGAAATGTGGTGGGAGACCTGGGCGCTGGGCCCAGCTCCGTAACTTAATTCATTGTGGGACGACCTCAGTGATAGTCTCTAATTTTCTTTTTGGGAAAATAATATCATGCCACCTGCTTACCTTTAAGAGTGTTTTGAGGATTAATGAGTTACGTACCTTGGATGAAGGCAGGAGCCTGGTCATAATTTCATTGCCTTTTTAGAGAAGATCCAGTTTGGGGAATAAAGTAGTGAAAATAAAGGAATGGAATGGGCTGTCTACAACTTGATGTGTTTCACGTCCAGCTGTAAATCAGGTTTTCATTCTCACTGAGGAATTTTAACTTGAAATTTTTATATATTTTTTAGAAATGACACCAAACCAAATGTCTGACCTGCTGTTTGTGGGAAAAGAACAGATGTTTATTCTGAGAACATACTAATGAAGATGTTAGTGGTTTTCTCGCACTGTTAAGGGAATAAGATGGGTCATAAGAGAGAGCATAGATTGAAGTATAGTTTGCTCTTATTGTCCCATCACTGGTGTGTTCTTTTTGAGAGAATTGATATTACTTCATTTTGTTGGTTTTCCAAGTTTCTTTGACAAAGAAACTTCATAGATGTCAAGCCAAAACAAAACAAAAAATATAAACACACATACAACAGTTGCTTTAAATACCAAGGATGTCAGCGTGAAATTAAAATGAATTTACTGACATTTCTGCTTTGAAATTTTTTTAGTAAAACTAATTTAAACCAAGTGAAAACTTGTGGCTTTACCTTATAATGGGAAGTTTGACCTTTTTCAGTGCTTTTGGCTCAGGGGTTTTGACATGGGATGTTTTTGGTTAAAATTTGCTTCAACTTTCTAATGGCTCTTGGGATTTTGGTCTATCTTTGGTTGGAATAGATATTTGGAATAGCAAATGCTGTCTATTGTGTTGGTACCACGTAGCTTTCAAAGACAAGGTCTCCTAAGTAGTGGCTATGGTATCCCCTCCCGCCCGTGTGTAATTGTTAAAAAGAACACTGTTGTCATGTGAATTCTTATTTTTTTGAGCTTGCCTTTGAAGTAACTTTCACAGAGAATTCCTGTTACCTAGAAATTGATGACAGACTTACACCATTTCCTTTTTTTTTCTTAGACGTTCCGTCCTCAGAGCAGCCTGAACTGTTCCTAAAGAAACTTCAGCAGTGCTGTGTCATTTTTGACTTCATGGACACGCTATCTGATCTTAAAATGAAAGAATACAAGCGCTCCACTCTTAATGAACTGGTGGACTACATTACAATAAGCAGAGGCTGTTTGACAGAGCAGACTTACCCTGAAGTAGTTAGAATGGTGAGTTTCTTTGTTTCGCCGCGGACACTTTTAAGCACCTTCCATAGCGACGTACAGGTGTAATTATTGCAGAGTCAGGTCACTGGAGGTCACCTCCACAAATGAGAACCAACCTTCTGAGAGCTAAGCTAAAGTAGTCGGAACAATACTAGAATTTGAAGAGTATGATTTCATGAGAATGAAATCCACAACTTTTCACCTACAACAGTACTGGAGGAACCAGCGACTTCAGAGTATGAAGCCAGGATTGCCAGGGTGTTCTTGGATTTCTGGCGTTGGGAAAAGAAAAGACACAGGAGAATCAACACAAGTTTTAGATCTGTGTTTGAAAAATACTCAAGCCTGTTGGATGTCTTGATTTTTTTTTTTCCCCTCCCTGTTCACTGTGGTAATTTAGAAATGGCTTTAACCTCAATAAAATTGTGATTTGTAGAATCTAGTTAAAGCCTCTCCTGGCTTTATAAACTAATCATTCCCATTATAATCTTGAAATCTGGGGTGATGTCTTTCATTATTTTTGAACAGTGTCTTGCACTTTGTGTGGTCATTAGGAGTTAAGAGAAGAAACATTATTAGCATAATAGAAGTAATTATGTTCTTTTTGGGTCAGTAATTATATTCGTTGTTTTTTTTTTTTAAAGCTGAGCCAAAATATGGTTTTCTGTTGGATTTCTATGGGAAGCTTGCCTTCCTTGGCATCCCAGAAGATGTTGGATCTAGAGAGTATGTGCTCTTTTGGGGAGGTGGGGCTCTTCCACTAATTGGTGAAATTATGCTGCAGAAATCCAGAAGGGTCAGTGCAACCACTGGGAAGCCCCTTGGAGAATCTGGCCCATTCTCTCTGTACTGCTGAAAACTGTCTAGCTTTTCAGTTCAACTTTTATCATTTGTATTCAACAAATACAGAAAAGAGACCTCTGTGATGAAGTAGATGTAGTTAAAAATGAATAGTTCAGATTTGGCAAGGGATGTGAATGATCATAACTTGAGAAACTGTGACTGATGTCTGAAGATCATTTCAAAACAATGTCCAGTGTATCCCTCAGATATGTGTTTGAGTTTATGTTGCATTTGTTTTTAATTTACGAGAATATACTAGTAGAATGTTTCGTAGGTGAACTATTAACATTGTAGCTCTTGAGCAGTGGTTCTCAACTAGGGGTGGTTTTGCTTCCCAGGGCACTTTGGCAATGTCTAGAGACGATTTGGCAGTCACACCCAGGGGTGGGGAGGGGCGTGCTACCAGCATCTACTGGAGAGAGGTCGAATTGCAGCTAAACATCTCATGATGCACAGGACAGCCCCCTAACAAAGAATTATCTGGCCCTAAATGCCAACAGTACTGTTGTTGAGAAATCCTGCTCTCGAGTTTGCATGCTATCTGAACCTCTTAACCTGACACCTAAGGTTTTCTCTAGGCCATCTGCCTTCTGCAAGTTTTGGTTTTAACCTACCCATTGGTTTTAACCTACCCCTTGGTTTTAACCTACCCATCTCCTCAGCCAACAGAGGTATCCACCGTGTATAACTTCCTTCTATATCTCATTCCATGGATTGTCCGTTAATATGTAAGCACATATAAGCATATAGATATAAATACACAAGTCGTGGCATACTATACACACTTATCTGCACCTTGCGTTTTTCACTTAGCAATATAGACTGTATATCAGTGCACATAAAGCTGTCTCATTCAGTCTTACAGGTGTGTAATACTTCATTGTGTGGGTGAACCATAATTCATTTAACCACTATCCTATGAATATCCTTATATACCCGTCAGTTTACCTTTGTGTGAGAACCTTTGTATGTTTACTGGTTTGTTTTTTTTAAATAGCCTTTCTTTCCCCCTGTTTCTGGACCTTCATGTGTTTCTTGGGTCCCATCTCTGATTCTCCCCTTCCTTTCAAGACTTGGCGTCAGGTGCTACTGCTGTTTCCTGAAAAGCTCAGAGTTGTCCCATACCTTCTTTTCCGTCATCTCTTGGCAATTCATCCTTTTGGAATTTGTTCACTTGCTGCTCTTTAATTTTTCACACCTTTATTTGATTTTTCTAATTAGACTATAAGCACGTCTAGGCAGGAACTATGTCCTGCACATCTCTGTGGCCTCCAGAATACCTCCTAGTGCAGGTCTATCAGGAGTTCGTTGAACGAGTGAATGAATTCCCTCTTAAATGTGAGTGTTTCAGGCTCTCAAATTATCTCAAATTAAGATATTGAATGTCATTGGGTTATATTTAGTTTTTAAACCCAGTATTTGGCATAATCAAAAAATTCTTTTATTCCTGTGAAACCAGCTTGGTTCTGAATGAGCTTTGGTCTCTTAACGGAGACTATTTTCCCTTCTCCCCTACCCTCCCCCAACCCCCTTCCAAAAATTGTTTTTAAAAGTCTCCCGTCAGGTGAGTTGTGTATGAATGTGCATTTTAAAATATACTGGAGGCCTACCTTAGGAGATGTTAAATCTGTAGCACGCGTACTGTTCTAGGGCATTAGAAAATTAACTTTCCAGATGGTGGTTTAGGGTTCTCAGGGGCGTAGTTTATTTTTCAGATCTCATGATTTGTGAAATTGTAACCATTAATTTTACATGGTTCTTAGGCAGTCTGGGGCATTTACAGAGAAGGAGTTAGTGTGGGAGAGTCTGAGAGAGAAGAGACTTTGGAGCCACACAGACCTGGGCTCAAGTGCCAGCTCTGGCCGCACTTACTTGTTTCATCACCTTGGATGGAGCCCTTCCTCTGGGGCCTCAGTTTTTGTGTGGTGCTAAGAGGCACATGGGATCAGGCGAAGGGTGACCATAGTCCTACCTCCGCTGCTCCATGAATACTCTGCCTAAGTAAAGTGCTCTGCACGTAAAGTCCTCACCTCCTCAGATACAATCTTGCAATACAGTCTAGCAAGCTGGCCGCTTAACCACTCCGTAAGAAGGGTTGGAACCCAGTCCCCACTTGTTGCCCTCTATTCCCTTCCATTTTGCCACCTCGGAGGCCCCTTCTATATAGAAATTCTGGTGCTGCCGCTGCCCACCTTCCTCATCTGTATCACACCTGCCTTTTTCTGGCCTTTGTGAGGATTGGCAATATCTGTGTACAAAGCTCTTGGAATAGTCCCTAACATATGGCAAGCATTAGTTCAATAGTGCTATGCTTGGACGATTCTGTTATTATATACTTGATTTTACAATCATTGGTGGAACCCAGCATTCCTTTTGTGGACTTGAGGTGTTGTCAGCTGGATGTGTCGTATTCCATTGCCTCGATGGTTCTCGAATTCTGTAACTCCAAGATGATCCTGCCTGTTGAACAAACGTCACTGTCCCCACCTATTCTTTCTTGTTATTGTAAAATGCAACCACTTTCACTAGGATTAGTGAAGGAAATGGTGGTGCTTTTAGTGAAATATCAGTAAGTGATAGCCAGGTTTTATAAACGAGGATGAGTGATGACTTACAGCGACAGGTTCTGGTGTTAGCACTATTACCAAAAGCCTTTGATCCAACCTGAATCTGTTAGGGGAAGGAAAGAGTGACCAATAAAAGTAATCTGTGAGTTGTGGAAGCCATTTTTAGCATTTAAATGAAGTCTAGATACCACCTCCAGGCTGCTGGAATTAAGAAAGCAAAGCAGCTCTTGATGTGTAAACAGGATAAAACAATGTAGTGTGTACCTTCCCTGCGGGAGAGTTGTGTGGGCTGGTGGAGAGAGCCCGAGACCGAGAATGTGGAGGTCACCGTCCACTTGATTGATGGTGAGGTCTCGGGCAAATAATTAATTTCCTCTCAAGCCCCGGTTTCTCCTGTGTATAAATGGAGGGGATCGGTGACGATTGCTCCCACCTTCCAGCTCTGAAAACCACTGGCTCTTTCAGTCAACACAGTCTAAGAAATTGAGAATGGGTTCTGCTTCCAAAATAGTAGCTTAGGTAAGTGGTTTGTTTTCATGTATTTCACCTGAGGGCAAATCTGATGGAAAAAACGAGAATCAGGACTTGTAGTTCCTTGAGGCTTTGGCTCATTCTGCTTTGTATCATCTCAAGTGTCAGGCTTCTGTCCTTGAGTCAGTATTTTTACCACATTATGCTAATGTTTTTTCTCTTTGGTTCTGTTGCCATGCATCCATTTGAAAGACTTCTTAGAATTTCTGGCTCTCCCAGTAATCTTGTGCTGGTTTTTTTTTTTTTTTAACCCAAACTCGAGCTTTTTGTATTTTATGCTCTTTATATGTGCACATCTTCCTTTTCAAAAACGTCACTTTTGGGTATAGTTCGAATGTGAGATGGTATCTCATTGGTGAAGATGTTATTTTAGCCAACTCCAGGTAAAGTTTACTGAATGACTTAGAACCACACTTTTACATTTTGATAATAAAAAAAGGCTGGGTCCTGCCCTGTCAGCAAACTTAAAATCAGGTAGAAGGGATACTCATGAACAAATATAAGAAAATGTCATACGTGTATTAATAGAGGTGTATATACAAGGCAAGAAAGGAGTACAGAGGGTGAGTAGTCTGAGGTTAAGTAGAGATGGTTAAGGAAGGCTTTTTACAAAGGAAGTAAAGCCTCAGTAGGTGTTAAAAGGTGAATGCGTGTTTTCTAAGTGGCTGAACTAGTGTTGAAATGAAGAAGAGAATTACATGATGCAAAGGGATTTCCCAACCCCATGATAGATTCAGAGAAGCACAAGTAGTGTTGTCACAGCATTGTGTGTGTGTGTGTGTGTGTGTGTGTGTGCGCGCGCGCGCACGTTATTGGGGAGTTCGAGGAGGTGAATGGTGGCAGTTGAAGCTGCAGGTGTGGGCCCGTTCTTGAAAGAACCTCACAGACAGTGGATAAACATTGGAAAGTTTTAAGCAGTTGAGTGACATGGTCAGATTTGTATTGCGCTGGCAGTGGGCCAGATAGATTGGAGGGCGCCAAAATTGAAGGCGGAGAGGAATCAATTAGGGAAGGGGTGTTTTAGAGAAGCTGTGAAAGCCCTAAGGCAAACACAGGTATGAA